TTTCATCTCCGACCTTAGTTATTTCTGTCTAATAATTTTGTTTGGCTTCTAATTGTTCTTCCAAGTCCCTAAAGTGTTTAAGTAAGTCATTTATTTGAGATATCCATGATTATTTTAGTGTAGTGCTTTTATTCATAGATTTCCTTCTTAAGACTGCTGTTACTTTATCTCATAGACGGTGATGTGTTGTGTTCATTTTCATACAATCCTGGGAATTGTTTGAAGTCCTTCATTTCTTCAATGACCCATTTTTCATTTAATCTCTATGAACATCATGTGTTCTGTAGTTTCCTTGCTATTAATTTCTAGTTTTAGCTCATTGTGGTCAAAAAAGAACAATAAATTATTTAAAATTTCTTTTGTTAATTAATATTTGCTTTGTGTTATTTTACATGATCTATTTAGGAGAAAGTTCCATGGGATACAGGGTAGGATGCTTATCCTACAGTGTTTGGATGGCAAGTTTTATAGATATCTGTTGGGTGCATTTGATTTAGGATGTCATGTTTTTTTGTTTGGTTGGTTGTTTTGTTTTTGTTTTTGTTTTTTACTCAGGATGACATATCCTTTGGTAATAATAGATCCCACAATTATTGTGTTGGGGACTAATCTGTTTGCTATATGAAATTATGTGCCACAATGTATATATATTTAATATTCTAGTGTCCTATTGATGCTTTATTCCCTTAATTGTTATGAAATTACCTTCTTTGTATCTTTCTATTTTAATTGGAGGTTTATTTTGTTAAGTATGATAACAGCAACCATTGCTTGTCTGTAGTTCTATTTGCATGAATGACCTTTAACAATCTTTTGCCCTAAGGTTGTATCTGACATTGTTGGTTTCTGATTTTAATCTAATCTGCTACTTTGTGTCTTATTTATTCATTTTTTATGACAAAGTCTCATAGTGTAGCCCTGTCTGACCTGAAACTTAATACGTGGATCACAAAGGCCTCAAATTCACAGAGATCACCAGCCCTCTCCCTCTGGAGTGCTGTGATTAAAGGCACGCATCACTTAGTCTGTTTGGGCTGTGTCATATGATCAATCAGTCGAGATCACTAGTGTTTATTATTAAAGTGTGATTATTAAAGTGTGTTATCAATTCCTATTATTTTCTTAATTTGTAGTATTTGGCATTTTCCTATTCCTCATTTACTATTGTAGCTTCATGGGTGTGTTTATCTTTCTCTGACACCTTTGTCTGAAGGACTAAGTATATTCTATAGAGCAGGCTTAGTGATATGAATTCCTTCAGCCTGTTTTTATCATGGAAAGTCTTTCCCTCAGCTTCAATTATTGCATATAGCTTTCCTGGGTACAATCCTCTGAATTAGCAGTTGTCTTTCAGAGTTTAAAGTACATCATTCTAAACACACCTGGCTTTTAAATTTTCTATTCAAACATCTTAGTTTGGCAGAATTTCCCTTATAAGTGACTTGATGTTTCTTTCTTTCAGTTTTCAATATAGTTTATTCTGAATATTTGGTCTCTTAACTATAAAATGATTAAAAGTGTTCTTTTCTGGCCTTTGGTAATGTACATGTCTCCTGTATCTGGGAAATTCTCTACTGTGATTTTACTGAAAATGTATTCTATGTCTTTGGGATGAAATTCTTCTCCTCTTCCTCCTCTTCCTCCTCCTCTTCTTCTTCTTCTCCTCCTCCTCCTCCTCCTCTTCTTCTTCTTCTTCTTCTCCTCCTCCCCCTCCTCCTCCTTCTGTTCCCTGATTCATAGATTTGTTACTTTCATACCATCCTATTGATCTCATGTTGTCCATATATACTTATTAATTTAGTTTTTAATGTCTAAATTTTCCAGTTCCTCCACCTTGTCTTCAAACTGTTATAAACTTTCTTTTCCATGATATCTTCTGTTGATGATTTCCCAGGAGTTCTTATTTGACTTTTGTAGCCCATATCTAATGTACACTTTCCTACACTATTCCTGCTGCATGAACTCTTTTCCCTTAGATATTTGTTTATATTCCCATGGAAGGAATGCCTCTACCTGCCCCAAGAATGCTACAGGCAAGAAGTATCTTTTCCCTAGTTTAGGATGTTCAAAGACATTATATAAACGTCCCACATTTGATTAAGACTTTCTGCCCCTGAGCACATTGGTGAAAGTAGTGAGAAATATTCTCTATGTTGACAGAGGTTCCTGCTTTGAACACTGAGCTATATTGGCATAAAAGTTTCAGAAAAGCTCAGTAATTGACTCTTGAGTCATATACACTAGAGTACCCTGGTTCTATTGAATCTCAAGTTCACCAAAACTATTGGCTGATTATGATAGACCTCTCTCTCTCTCTCTCTCTCTCTCTCTCTCTCTCTCTCTTTCCTTCCTTCCCCCTTGCTCTCTCTCCAGTATTTCTGCCTCATTGTCAAATTCCACTTTCATATCTTATACTGACTTTATTACATTCTGCTATGTGTTTTTGTTTTCTTAGCATCCTCTTTTATTTTTTGAACATTCACGTGATCATTTGAATTGAGAATTGTTCTCCATAGTACACATACTTGAACACTAGGTCCCCAGCTGTTTGGGGGCAGTTATGGAACCTTTAGGAGGTGGGGTTTTGCTGAAGGAAATGGGGAAAGTTTTGAGAGTTTATAACCTTGTTTCTCTTCCAGTCTACCTTCTGCGTGTGGCTGAAGCTGTTATCTCTCAGCTCTCTGCTTGGCTTCCCTGTTTCCATATTTTCCCACCTTATAGACCCTAACTCTGAAACCATAAGCCAAAGTAAATTCCTTATTCCATAAGTTACTTTTGGTCATGGTGTTTTATCACAGCAATGAAAAATAACTAACATAATTTATATATCATTTCTCCAACTCCTTTTTCTGAGATTTTATTTAATTCACTTTCATTAAAAGTCATTGCTTTACTCCAACTATATGATAGTTGGAGCCATTATAGCTTTGAGGAGAGAGCTGACACTAGTGAGATTTCCAGAGATCTACAAGAATAACACCAACTGGAAAACTAAGTAATGGCAGAGAGAGTACATTAATAGCTCCTACCTGATAATAAGGTTGATGACTAACTTATATGACATCCTAGAACCTTCATCCAGTGACTGGTGGAAGCAGAGGCAGAGACTCACAGCTAAACACTGAACTGACCCCCCTGGAACCAAGTAACAGAGATGGAGGAGTGATGAGCAAAGGGGTCAAGACTGTGCTGGTGAAACCCACAAAGACAGCTGACTGGACAAGGGGGGAGCTCTTGAACCCCAGACTGATGGCTAAGAGGCCAACAGGGGACTGATCCAGACTCCATGAATGTAGTGCCAGTGAGGAGGCCTTAGAAATCTCTGGGGTCTTGGGTAGTAGATTAGTGTTCACCATGGCATATAAATGAACTTTGGGAGCCCATTCCACATGGAGGCTTGCTCTCTCAGCCTGGACACATGGGGAAGAGCCTAGGTCCTGCCCTGGATGAAATGACAGACTCTGGAGATCCCCCCCAAGGAGGGCCTCACCCTCCCTGGGGAATGATGTGGGGATTGGGCTAGGGGTGGGGGTGGGGGTGGGGCTGGTGAAGCGACAAGGAGGGGAGCTGGGATTGACATTTGAAGCATGCATGTTTCTAATTTAAATTTTAAAAATCCAAAAAAAAAAGAAAAAAAGTCATTGCTTTACAGTTAATAATTTTCTCAAGAGTCATGTTGCTTAGATTTTTTTGTATTTTTGTGTTGAGACTTACTCATGAAGAGCTGAGTCACTGATTAGATTTTCTAACTATCTTTGTTCTTTCAGTGGGGATATTTGTAATGTTCGAGAACAACTAGACTGCAATAGTGTTGAGGCTTCAGTTTCCTCTGCTAGACTAGTACTGGCACCATAATCAGTCCTCAATAACCCCCAGGAAATAAAGTACATCTTTGTGGTTCCAGTCTTTACTCTCTCAGCATGCCTTACCAGACTCTAAGATGCCCAGATAACACAAAGGTTCATCAGCTTTACAGTGCAACATACAAATACAATGGAGAGTCCTCTAACACAAAAAGAAGCAATATAAAAGAACAATAAATACCATCTTTGTATGAAGAAAATAAGTCTGATATATATATATATATATATATATATATTTAGCACAGTATGAATATTGTTTCATTGCTTTAATATCTCAATAGATTTACTCTCAAATTCCTAATGGGAAAATCTGAATCCACAGTTAGCCTCTTGAAAATAGTTGACTTGAAAGTCTCTCATACATGTTAAGAGCCATGCCACGAAGATTAAAGTCAGGGTGGGTGGGAATTAATGAACAGAGTAGAATTGAAAATTCATAGATATACCCTTCTGGAAATTTAATGTACAACAGAGTGGTTTAAAATATTTATAGAAAAAATAGTTGAGGAAATAATGTTGATAAAATAAGCATGTTAAGTTTAGAACAATAAAACTGTATTTCTCACTAACGTGACACATGAAAGCAAATACTGAATGAATTAAATATCTTAAAATAGAAATGACAATGCTGTATTATAGAAAAGAAGCAGGGGAGTTTCTTTCTGACCTTCAGTGAGGAACTTCCAAATTACAATAAAATAAAAATGATGATTTTTTATTGGGTCATAATCTGGCATTTTTCTTCAGTAAGGAAAATTACGGGCAGAGTTGAAAGACAAGTGATCCCTGAGCCATGAGAAAGGAAGTTATAAAATGGCTGTCTTGGGCTTACACAGTATGGCCGGCGACATTAGCTAGCTCTCGCTCAACTCTCTCTAACAGGAAAGCAGCGGACTACAAGAGTATCTGCCTCTATTTCCAACAGACTCTCGTTCAACTTTCTCTCACAAAAAAATATCCGGGAAAATTTTATTAGTCCTATTTATTAAAAAAATTCATATAAAATTATAGCTAAAAAAAAAAGAACCTGAACTTTAGTAACAACTGGAACAATCCGCAGAGGTGGTGGGAGCAGCAGGAGAAGATTTAATTTAGTTGATTTTCTGTGGTTGTTGGTTTTTTGCTAGTCTCACGGTGATGGAAGGTGCACATTTTTTCGAAGGGATCGAGAAACTGCTGGAGGTCTGGTTCTCCAGTCAGCAGTTCGATAAAAGCCAGGGATCTGGGGATCTTCGCACCATCCCGAGATCTGAGTGGGATGTCCTCTTGAAGGATGTGCAATGCTCAGTCATAAGTGTGACGAAGACTGACAAGCAGAAAGCTTATGAGCTCAGTGAGAGCAGCATGTTTGTCTCCAAGAGACATTTCATTTTGAAAACATGTGGTACCACCCTCTTACTGAAAGCACTATTTCCCCCTCTTGAAGCTTGCTAGGGATTACAGTGGGTTTGACTCAATTCAAAGCTTCTTTTATTCTTATAAGAATTTCATGAAGCCTTCTCACCAAGGGTACCCACACCGGAATTTTCAGGAAGAAATTGAGTTTCTTAATGCAATTTTCCCAAATGGAGCAGCATATTGTATGGGACGTATGAATTCTGACTGTTGATACTTGTATTACTTTGGATTTCCCAGAGAGCCAAGTAATCAATCAGCCAGATCAAACCCTGGAAATTCTGATGAGTGAGCTTGACCCAGCAATAATGGACCAGTTTTACATGAAAGATGGTGTTACCGCAAAGCATGTCATTCGTGAGAGTGGAATTCCTGACCTGATACCAGGTTCTGTCATTTATGCCACACTGTTCAATCCCTGTGGCTATTCAATGAATGGAATGAAATCAGATGAAACATATTGGACTATTCACATCACTCTAGAACCAGAATTCTCTTATGTTGAGAATTATGTTCGTGAAACAAACCTAAGCCAGACCTCCTATGATGACCTTATCAGGAAGCTTGTGGAAGTATTCAAGCCAGGAAAATTTGTGACCACCTTGTTTGTTAATCAGAGTTCTAAATGCCCCACAGTGCTTTCTTCACCCCAGAAGACTGAAGGTTTTAAACGTCTTGATTGCCAGAGTGCTGTGTTCAATGATTACAATTTTGTTTTTACCAGTTTTGCTAAGAAGCAGCAACAACAGCAGAGTTGATTAAGAAAAATGAAGAAAAACTGCAAAAAGAGAAGACACACAGGAGGTGGTGGCTGCTTTCTAGATGTTGATACTGGGGGCTGGGTTCTTCAAGACCACCACCTTGTAGCTGCAGAAAGCCGTAGGTGTAATGATAGTGTAATCATTTTGAAGTGTATGCATTATTATATCAATGAATTAGATATCTTGCATGAATGTTCTCTTCTGTGTTTAGGTGTTCTATGCCACTCTTGCTGTGGAATTGAAGTGCATGTAGAAAAGAATTTTGACTGCATGAATCTTTATGACACTTGTGAAAATGATCCAGTTTGGTCTATGCACAGTGTAATATTTCTGCAGGCATCATCCAAAATCCCCCACAGACAAGGCTTTTGTCCTCATTAGATGCTGGCCTCAGCTGACCATCTGCGACTGTTCTATTAAACTGCTGCCAGAGTTTTTACATACAGTTACCTCCACTTTCAAGAGCACATTCTCTACTAATGTTAGTCGAAACCAAATTTATAATTCATACAGGTGTTTTGTGCAATGGCAATTAAAGTTTTTCTTCTACAAGTTGAGTCCTTGTAGGAAAATGCTGATTCCAGTTACTGTTTTGTGTTCTGCCGTTTTAATAATTTCCTGCATTTATAGTCCTATGATTGATGTCTTCTCTCACCATGGCGTCTTTTCCTCTTTTCTCAGTTCACCCCACTCTCCCATTAAAGCAATAGTTGTTACACGGGGCTTATTAATAATCTTGTATGTCAGGTAGAGAGATTTTGGGGATAGTCCCTGGTTTAATTTTTTTAAGCCAGGCAATGGTAGCACACGCCTTTAATCCCAGCACTCGGGAGGCAGAGGCAGGCAGATCTTTGTGAGTTCGAGGTAAGCCTGGTCTACAGAGCGAGTTCCAAGATAGGCTCCAAAGCTACACAGAGAAACCCTGTCTCAAAAAACCAATAAATAAATACATGAAAAAAATGGATATCTTGTTCCACAAGATGGAACCCATACCTGGCACAGTTTTGGGGGCCAAGAACCTGTGGCTGGAGAAGCCATAGGCCCTAGTGGAGAGTGTACTACCGTTATTCTGCTAAAGGAACACTCTATTAAACTGGCTCCTAATGACATACTTTTGTACTAATAGACTAGTACATCTCTCAGAACCCATCAAAGGAACTTTTTTTAAGTAGATAGTTATTAACACAGAAATCTTCAACTGGACAAAGGGCAGAGACTAGGTGGTTGTAGAATGCTCACCCAAAAGGAGACATCTATATCACACTTCCACCTCCCAAAGATCCAGTAATTGTTGTAAGAGAGAGGCAGAAACATTCTAAGAGTCAAAGGATGAGTGTGAATACAAGGAAATAGTGTTTTCTGGTCCAACAGGGCAGTTGCACATAGGAACTCACAGTAGTTGTAACATCATGCATGAGACCTGTGTAAGTATAAGTCAGAAAAAAATCCCAGCATGAAAGAGGGGAAATGAGGATAAAGTCATATCCCTAGCTGTGGCACTATTAGTAGTAGGTAACTATTGTGAGAACAGTCAGGTTTTTTTATGAGTATGACCCCTGGTAAGTCTACCAGGCTCCTGTGGATGGCCACACACCCAAGGGCATATGGACAGCACTAATGGGATTTGACAGGCTTATTATTTTAAGGGACACAAAGTTGGGTGGGTAGAAAAGAGGGAGTAGATCTGGAAGGAGTTGGAGGATGGGGGAATAAATATGGTCAAAAGACATTTTATGAAATTCTCAAAAAACTAGTAAACATGAGAAGGGAAAACATCTTTTTAAAAAGAACCTAAAGTCTCATTCTGAGTACTGAGTGAGATGGCACAGCAGCTAAAGACATCTACGATGAACCCTAACAACCTGAGTTCAACTGCTGAGGCCAATATAGTAGGAAAGAGCTGATTCCCACAAGCTGTCCTCTGGTCCACATTCCGTGGCATTCATGCATGTAGACACACACAGAAATAAATGTAATTTTAAAGATGTCTGATTGTAAATTATCACTATGGACAAAAACTTTTGTCTGTATGTCCAGTAGAAGTATATAACTTTAATAAGCAACACATTGGTAATACTTGTTGCCATGTTAATATTAGGACAATGTTAAGAAAGTCAAATTCTTGCTATTTTAGGTTGTCTTTTGTGTACTTTAGGTGCCCAAACCTCCATAAACCGAATAGAAAGTGCAAGCCCAGAAATCAAGTTACAGTCCCCAATTCTAAAGCCAACACTCAGGTGAGCCAACGCATGGTCATTTTGATTTCTACTCAATTACCTATGAGCAAAAACAAAAGTTGTACGGCTTTGTGAATCCCTTAGCAAATATCTGCTGATGCTATTTTGAGCAAAATTAGAAATACAGACATACTTGTGCAATTTGGCAACTTTAGCCTGTGATTTTAATTATAACACAAAGTGTCCCAGGGTGTTGCTGTAAAGGACTGAGGACTCTCAACCCTACAGGGAATACCCTGTTTACACAACCCTCAGGACCTCACCTTTAAATAGGTCCTCAAAGGAAAATATTCAAAACCGAGCTAGAAGATGTGGAGCTTATACTCAGTGAGGTAAAGCAGAAAGGCATAATTAGAAGAAAGCTAAAATTCCTAAGATCAGTTTCAGGCTTTAATAAAAGAAAAATTTCCTGGAAGTCAGTGCTGTCCTTCAAGTATGGAACTCCTGACAATTGAAGCCTCTCGTTTATGCTAGGTTTCTTCATGGAAAATAATCCCAACAGTGTTTGTACTCCATGCCTGCACTGAGGTAAGAGAAGAGGCTGCTAAAAGTTTAATTTAGTCTGTAGTGTTCTATAGGGTTGACTGGAGACTGAACTGAAAAAAATAGGCTGTGTCATTAGCCCTCCTACTCATTCATGTTTTTTCCTTGCTAGGTTCCCAGGCAAAAATTCAATTCCCATTCTTCTCCAGAATTCCAGTCTGGAAGCTAGAGTCCAAAGTTTCTCCTTCATGGATGAAGCTGATCCCATAGAATCCACAGAGGGCACAGAAATCACAGAGGCCATACCTTCCAGTATTGCTCTCCCTTTGGCGTGGAAGGCAGCTCTGTCTGACTCCCATTCCTCAGCTGTCAGCCTCCAGCTTTTCATTGCTTCTCTGGGTTTGCACACACATTCCACCATCTCCCTCTGTGGATGGATGGCACACTAACTAGAGAGGAAGTGGCAAAGAGACTGAGAATTGCTTTGAGGAACTCATCAAGAATGTTTTCCTCTTAGGCAATACTCTTTGTGTAGGACATGTGAATGGACTAACACGGCAGGCTCCAATCGCCTGATGATACCATGGAGGAGAGAGTCCAATTACAACCAAGATGGTCCTCCTAGTGCAGAAGAGGTAACAACCCTAATAATGACACTATCAAACTTTAACTCAATGTTTGAATATTCTTCTCATATACAACAGGCATGATGAGTTCCTGCATGACTCAGCCTTAGTCAACACTTACTCTGTTATAGTGAAAGAGTTGGTGGATATCTAGATGCTATATAAAAGAATATGTGCTTCCTATGTGAGTATATCTTGAATTCTGATATGTTGTATCAGATAGCTGTAAAGCAAATAGTTAAAAGATGCAGTTTGTAGAGTGTGTGTATGGAGAAGTCTCATGTGTGCAGCTGTGTGTCTGTGTGAGACTCGTTATATATACATGTATGACACTGTCAAAGAAAAACTCAAACAGTAAAAATACAGAGATTTAGAGCCAGGTATGGTGGTGATATGGGCCTGTAATCCCATCACCAGGGAAGTAAAGAATCATGAGTTCATGAGCTACATGAGAAAAGTTAAAGGACATTTGAAAAGAGTTTATTATTGCAAGTTTATTAGGACACAAGAGATAAAGACTTATTGCATATCCCTTCAGAGGCAGCTTCCAGACTCACTGACCTCTCCCTGTGTTCTCTTCCTTCTGCCTTTTCTCTACATATCTGGATCTTTGGTTCTTCTCCATTTCTTTCAACTTCTATTTTCCTTTGTACTTTTGCTTTTTTATTAATTTGTTTTTTATATTCCAGTGCCAGTTCCCCTCCCTTCTCTCCTCCTGCTCTCCCCACTTCCCCAATTCTATTTTTCTTGCTCTTATTGATCTTTCTTCATGTTCTCTCCACAACAGACAGAGATGCCACCGTTTACTCACTCTGAAAAGTTGATGGTTATATAAAATCTTTAGAGTGTGAAGGGAAAAGCGTCCCTGACCTACTATGAAATACAAATAAGTCACTCCCTGTATCAGATGGGATGAACTCCTTGTCCTCAAGGGGCAGGAGGAATGTTTCTTGTTATGTGTTAATATACCTCTGCCTTGTCTTGTAGAGGTGCAATGCCCCCTTGATCACATCCAGGTTTGTCTTTCACTGTCTGAATCATGTTTCAGTTGCTTGGGTCTACCATGTGGGTTCAGAACTCATTTGGGGCATAACTACTAAATTTCTTCCCAGATCATTATAATAAAGGAGTGATGTGCAACTAAAAAAAAAGAAATACAAATGACACTAAATTTAATGACTTAGCCCCTTCTCACTAATTTACTACTCTATTGCCCATTTTCCTGTTTTGATATTAAACTACATTTCCCCATGTGTGGTGTGTGTGTGTGTGTGTGAAAATTCTATATGGTTTATTCAGTAACCCATATTCTTAATGCAACAATTCTACCTAATCTTTGATTTCACTATCCCTGACTTCAGTCACCCAATGTTGATCACAATTAATGTTTGTATCCATTCTTTCAAAATACAAAGATTATGTTCACCTAACATTCACTATACTATATTTTCACAACTGTTCTATTTTATTAGTTATTATTATTAATGTTCTGCTTACTTAACTTACAAATTAATCTTTATCATATGTATGCATATATAGGAAATAAGGTCATAGGATTTGATACTACAGACTCACACATTCACTAAGGATCTTGAAATATATTCCCAGTAGAAAAAGGGAAACCCTATATGTACTACAGAGCCTACCAGAATTCTCAGTGTCTGTTCT